AAAACAAGAGAGAGAGAGAGAGACAGAGAAAAAAAAGAATAGCAAAAAAGAAATGTATATATGTTTTTTTTTTCTTCTCAGATAACTTAGTTCTTTCGTTCGTGAAATAAACAATCTATGCATAGTTACTACTATACTGTTTGATATGGCTTTTACCAATAGCATCTATAAGAATAATAATGATGATAAATGACAATCAATCAAGTGTATATGTTTATAAATCGAATAGAAACAAAACCTACTTTCGATAGTCATCAATGACACTACTACTATTACGAGCGTCCAGCTGCTGATAAGCCATCACCGTATGCGTGTGTGTATATATGTGTGTGTGTGTGTTTTCCTTGTTTTGTATGATTCAAAGAAAATTGCCAACCGTTATACGCCTGCGTATGTGTCGTTTGATTACACGCTCCTGTCGCCTGGTTCTTTCTGTTGTTGCTGCTACCATGAAACGTTTTCCTCTTCTCAATACATCGTAACAACGTCGTTCTTTCATACACGTAGTATAAACGAAGAAGGGAAATCTTGAAAAAACCCCTTTTTTTCTCTATCGCGTCTTCTTCTTCGTCTTCGTCTTCTTCTTATTCTTCTTCTTTTCTCTCTTAGATGCATAGCACATTGTGCACCGTTCGGTGTTTGGGTATGATCAATAAAAGAAGCAGAAAGAAAAGCAAAAATGATGATGATAAAAAAATTTAAACAAAAAAAATTAGAATTAAAAAAGAAAAGCAAAAAAAAAAAAAAGAAGAAAGATGTTGAATATAAACTTATTCGTTCTTATCCTTATCTTAAAGTTTTAATGAATAAAAAATTTATTTTTCTTTCATATTAAGACATAAAAACAATGGCAACAGTAAATAGAAAGAAAACAAAGTATAGACATAATTTTATTGTTCTAAATTTTTCTTATATTTTTATATTAAAGAACAGGCAATGAAATAGAAAAAAAACTTTCATTTGCATATCAAGGTTTGGAATCAATACCTGATTATCTATTACCAACTGATAAACATAAAATTGAATATCTTGATCTAACAGAAAATAATTTAGATGATCTTCGTTTTCTTATTGATCTTCCAAATTTACAAACATTAATTATTGATAAAAATCGTATAAATTCAAATGTTAAAATACCTCATTTAGATATGTTACATACACTATGGATTAATCATAATCAAATAACAAATTTAAGTGTATTTATTCAAACATTAGCTATTAGTTGTCCTCAACTAAAATATTTAAGTATGATGAATAATCCGGCAGCACCAAGTTTTTTTAATGGTGGTTCTTATAAACAATATGTTGACTATAGACATTATGTGATCAGTCAGTTGTCACATCTTATTATGCTTGATGATCGACAAGTATCACTCGAAGAAAGACAAGAAGCTGAACGTATTTATACACCTATGACGTTAACACGACGTGAAAGATTTTCACTTAAAAATCGAAGATAAATTTTAACAGCTAATTTACAATAAAAAATACTAAACTTGTTTATTTTTATTTTTTTGCTTAGAGAACTTACAAAAATCAAGTTATTGTTTAATCTGTATACAACTAGACAAATAACTGTTGTATACACATTTGCGGCTTTTTTGTTCTTTTGTAAAATCAATGTCAAATAATAATAATAAAATGTATCAAAAGAATACTTTATTATTACGGTTCGTGACTTTCATTCTTTGTTAACATGAACTACTCAATACTATATAACAGGTTTCTTATTTTGACTCTTAAATAAATTTCTAAATGATGATAGTTGCATATAATAAATAAATAAAATAGTTTAATTGAAATAATGAATGCTATCTAATATAGTATCTCTAATCGATATCGGATATTTACAAATTGAAAATAAAACTTATCAATGTCAATTAACATATAAAAATTATCTTTGTTTCTTTTTTCTTTTTTTTTTTACTTATCAATCGAAACTATAGAATATAAGAAAATCTTTATATCGTTTCACTATTCAATTTACAAATATTTCTCATATATATTAGATTATTGAAAAAAAAAATACAAACCGCTTGTTCAATTACCAAAAATATTTTGTAATACTTTCGTTATTAAATCAAAACGATCAAAAAAAAAACAGAGAGAATCTTTCTCGAGCAATTCTACAAAAGATAAGTAGAATCTCCTACTCTATCAGAAAAAAAAAAGAGAAGAAAGTACGAGGTCGACTTGGTCTGTCAAGATAATTATATCAAATTATATTTTTCCATGTATACACAAAATAAAAAACACACGTGTATCAATGTAACAAGTGATCTGTCTCGATTTCGAGACGATAACTTTCATTCTATCTTAACAATTATGTCACGTCTGTTTGCATTGTCAAACAATGCGGATGAATATACAAAACATATATGTATACACCTGGGGAACGCATGTATATATGTACGGACCTCGATAACAATTTATAGTAACATACATAACAGCAGCAACAAAAATAAGTAATAAGCAGACATGAGATCTTTATATATGATGTCTTATATAGAGCATTATGAATTTGATATGATAAGGATTTACTGATTATAATAAAACTGAAGACATAGGAAAGAATTGGTTTTGTACATAAATACATATATAACGAATGATGGAAATACTAAGTGTGAATATTTTTGAAATGAACCAATGTGATTATCAATTGTGGAAAGAAAAATAAACAAAAACATACCACAATAGAATATTGTCTATAGAAACTGATAATAAGATATGAGTTAATTGTTGAAAAAAGAATAAATGGATGACAATAATGATAAGTGGTCACGGATTGATGAACCAACAAGAGACGAAAGAATAGCCATTATACCAAAATATCGATGATGTTGGCAATGTTAGTATAAAGAACATCTTCATTCTTGCTCTTACACTAGAGCGACAGCATCTCTGCTGTTTTGGTAACACCACGGTGTTTTATTTCTTGCTGCTGTGCAAGCACACACACATACACGCACATACAGGATTGATGCTTACTTGCCTGCTTACTTGCGTTTTTTTTCTTTTTTTTGCCGTTCGTTTCTTTCGTCCTATACTATTTACTATTGCTTGCTTTTTCCTTTCTCTCTGTCTTTTTTTTCCTCATGCTCTTCTGTATCTTCCCTCATGAGTACGCTATTCAATGAGAAACGCACATAAGCAACACACAATCCCTCGATACAAATAGAACCCTGGATTTCTTGAAGGATTTTCTATTTCTCACTCTTTATTTTCTCTTTTCTGTTATTGCATCTGCGTGCAACTACAAAAGATAGAGTGAAGGAAAGCGTGTGTGTGATGTCTTCTCGATTTCGTTTGCGCGTGTAAAACTGCCATCATAGAAGCTTTCCATTTCTATCTCTATCTCATCATCTTACAATATGTATGACATCTGTATCTCATCCTAGTCAATCAGTTATGAGTATGAATTATAGAACAAAATTTTGAATAAGCACGACTTGTTATTAATATATCCTTGAATTAGAATTAAACGTTTATAATTGGTTATTATTCTTGACAATTTTTAGAAGTGTTCATCATTCGTTTATTATCAATGGCAAGTCAAAAATGAACAAAAAAAAAAGAATAAAAGAGGAGTAGAAAATAATAACCTTCAATAATAAACAACAACAATAATCATCATCATCATCATCTTCATTGGTGCCTGGAAATCGAGGCATCATTCTTTAGTCTTCTATTTTCTCGAGGCTTTATGTCGATGCTGCCAGACATATAGACAAAGAACAACACTATGTGTTGTGTCATGCATGGAAGGGCCTTGTAAAAGGAAAAACGAGAGACAAAGACAGAGATCCCAATTATCTGTATGTTCTCTGCTTGCTTCCTCACTTTTTCTGTCACTTGTCGTAGTCAAGGTCATATCACTATCCTATTAAGAAGAATACATGACAATGATAATACGAGAAATAAAAAGCAAAATAACAATGAACGATTTAACTCAATCAATACAATCGAAGATTTCACGTACCATTGATCAATACAAACATACGCCATGCATATCTATATCTATATATCTATATATATAAATTATGTTTATGCAAAAAAAGAGATATATATGAAGATGAGTTAATAGCGTGACTTTTTGTACTTGTCTTATAGATTTATTTCTTTAATGATAGTGTCATTGATAAGGGCATATTTTAACATACATTCGTATACATGTGTAAGCTTGATTATTGATGTCATTATTGAAAATCATAATAATAGTAACATACTAATAGTAATGTGAAGACTTTTTTTTTCTTAATCGATGTAAGAAAATAATATAGTTAGATCTTATTCGAAGACATAGGAAAGATTTACTTGATTAAACTACTGAAGATTTGTTTTCGAAGAGAAAACACTAATAATGAATGTTTGACTTTAATATAGTCAACATATTATTCGATGAAACTATATATATTTAATATTCTGATAGAAAAACATCTTGACATGAATCGTTTTTGTTTTGTCAATGTCTATTAAGAATACAGTATATTCAAAATAAATGACGTTAATTTATATAATGGCCAACTTTCAAATTTTTGCTTTTTATAAGCAGTATTTGAAAATAAGTGTATTGACCAAGGACAAAGTCTTAGAATAGAGTTCAATAAATCTGTTAAGTATTAATCAAAGTTCAACTTCATTTGTAAAATTTGTATTACTCATTTTTAAATTAATTTCTAATACTACTTACTAGTCAACAAATATCAAAGAATTCTTTGTAATGCAATCATCAAGGCAATTCATGTTGTCTTAGATCGATTCAGTAGCTATACTAAAAAGATTTTTTTCCTATATTCTATAGATCATATTATTCAATGTTATACTCATAAATCACAACTATAGAGTTAGCGTGGGAAAACATTGATACAATTTTGAAATTGTTACTAAAATCGGTTTTTTTTCTTGATTCATTTTTACATTAAAAAATACAATATATCTATATTCTTCGAAATATTTTTCATCAAATATATAACAATAGAAAAATAGTAAATAAAAACTTTTTATCCACTTAATATTATTCTAATATGTCTAAATAAAAAAACTAATTGTTTCCAATCATTATTTAATAAATTAATTAAACATCGACGTGCTTTGTCTATAGCATCATCCCATATTGAACGTAAAGCTGTATACCTTACTTCAAATAAGACAATAATAATAGCTGTAATCAAGATTTGAGTATTACTATGAATTTCAGATGATTGAAAAATAGTAAACGGTTTTCCTGTTAAATCTTTTATTGTTTTTCTATTTGAATCAAAATTCCAAAGACCATCATTTTTTTGTTTATTTATTAAATAATGAACAAGATCTTTATCATTCATCGATCGTATGTCATCTTGATATTGATATATTTCTTTCTTTAGCATATTATCTTGCATAAGCTTATGTTCATTTGATACGAACACGAAACTATTGTCTTTAGTTGTACTCAATTGTACAGGAATTGAAATACTATGATGAGATTGAATGTGCTCAAGAGAATCTTGTTCTTGATCATACTTCATATATTTATCATTTATCAATACATTCATTTTAGTTAATGATTGTTCTCTTGATCTTTCGATATGTATTGATTGATTGTCGAAATCTCTTGCGAAAAAATATGAATCAATATTATTGATATTGTTTAAAATTTTTTTCGATCTTGAATCAATTGATTGAATATATTGACTATCAGCTGATATTTGTATTGGTACTTCACGTAAGACCATATTAATATTACTATTATTGAGATATTTTTCAATACCAACAAATGCTGTATATCGACTAAGAATATTATATTGTAATGATAAATTAATAATACGTTGTTTAATATCTTCTTTTGTTCGAATAATATCATTGTTATTTTTTGAATCATAGTTAATATCTGCAAATCGTACTTGTTTTGTACTTTTTCGTGATATTTTACAATATTCTAATTCAAGTATTAATGCTTTAGCAGCAAGACGTGCTATCATTTTAGTATTATTTGTTATACGATCAGCATGCGTTATACCTAAACGATAATAACTTTGATCAGTTCGAATTTCAATTGAAGATTTATGATTTAATTCTATTGTTTGATTATTTGTTAGAGCATAAATAATTAAACGATCATTTATATAGGCTGGTGATAGTTGATTTGGTACATTTTGTATAGAAACTCCAAGATTCCATTGAATACGAATATTTGTAATACATCGTTGAATTGCTTTTTGTAATTGTTCTCGAATATAAATATCAATATGAGTATTTGGTGGAATAAAAATAAATCGACCATTTGTTGTTCGTGCAAGACCTTTTACAAGAGATCGACTTGGTGATGCACCCAAACCAAATGAAAATATTCGAGTTGATGAAGCCATTGAACGACATAATTCTAATACTTCAGATACATTTGAAACTTCACCATCAGTTAAAAGAAATACTTGACGAGCACGATCAATATGAGGTGGATGACGTTCTAGCCATTGTAAAGGTGCAAGCTATAAATATATAAATTTCAGACATTTCTTTTATTCATTTTAATATAGAATAAGAATGAAGAAAATTACATGGAACTAATTAGAATCAAAATTCGAATGATTTAGTCTATATAAATGAAAGTGTTATATCAGCGAACAAAAAGAAGAGAACTACTTAGACCTATGTCTATCGTTAATAATGTTGAATGCTGTCAAAACAGTTTCATTCATGTTTAATACTCACTTACCTACAGCTCTGATTAGAAAATTAGCATAATAATGAATTTCTGAATGTTGAACTTTGTATTTTGATTATCATTATCATTTTCTAACAAAAGATGTTCTCCAATTGATAAAACGCTTTTGAACCGAGACTATATAAATCATATAGGTAAAAATGAGTTATGAATACTTTGAAAATAGTTCGTGCTCTTCGCTTATTGTTGCGGAGATACTGCTTGTTTTATGAATTTTTGTAATGAATATCATGATAACAGAAAAAACTAATTTTCCAATTTCGACTTGAAACTTAGCATAGAGACAAACCTTAATGGAGGTAGTTTCAAGTCGTTTGATTTGCTCTATTGACGAACATGAGCCTAGAATCTGTCAGTTTATATGAGTGCCACAAGCAACATGCTATTACTGTAGTTATATATAATGATAAGAACAGCGACAACTTCTGAAACATCTGTATAAAAAGAAAAAACTAGGACTGTTTCTGTGCAAAATTTCAAATCGAAATTCGAGAAAGTCAGTGCTTTTGCTATCATGTTATTCATTTAAAAACTATCTTAAAAGTGTAGTATCTTCACTGTAATAAGTTAAGAGCATGAACTCTTTTCAGGGTATTAATAGCTCATTTGAATGTAAATATTTCACATAGGCTCGACTCAAAAGTAATTTATCAATTGGAAAACTTTTCTCATAAGTCAAAGAAAATTTATACAGCAAAAATGAGCAGTTAGTCCGCTTTCACCTTTCTTTTTATTTTTCCGTCGGGGAATGTACAGTTTTGGTGAAAATATTGATCATGATCTACTGAAGCATTCACACACTCATACAGTTTGGATATATCAGGTAAATTAATGAGAATTGATCCACTGTAATGAGCATCATTGTAAGTTTTCGGTGAAGAGTTTACTGAAACTGCAAATCTGTACGGCCGCCGAGTACTCACCCTGTGCCCGCTTTGTTTTTAATACAAGATGTACCTTTCTGAAATATCATAAGTTTGAAAAATGACTTACTATTTCAGTACCACCGAAATCTGCTCGTATTTGACTAATAAATTTCTCAGCAATTCTTATATTCACATTATTATAAAAAGCAGTCGATTCATTAAATAAACAACTATATTTCGCTCCAAATTTAATTATATTAAAATAACAATTTATTGGAAGATTTTTAATAAAAAATAACATAGCTTCACGAGCTAATCCAATTTTATTTTCATTTCTCATTGATCCACTACAATCAAGTATAAATATAAATTCATTTGTTTGTTTATTATTTAATGTTAAATAACAATCTTCTTCAAATGGTGTTACGGCAGCCATAGCAGCATTTGATTCAACAACAATAAATGTATTTGCACGTTTATCAGATAATTTTATATTCAAAAGTATATCACGATCTAAATATGTATTCTTTTGTGCAAATGTAACTATATAAGCATCATGTACAGAAAGATCAATATCAACATGATGTGATGGAGAATTTAATCGTGCTATATATTGTTGTTCATTAGGTCCATAGATTTTTTCAATACGACATCGAAATTCAATTATATATGGTATTGATTGAACATATTTTGATTTGATATTCATTGGTGAGCTAATACGTTTTTTTTGAGAATCATATCGAGGTGCAATAGTTGTTGGAATAACAAAACGAATTATTGAATCTTGTATAAGATCTAATTCTGTAACATATGATATAGTTATTATACATTCTTTTGATGGAGGTAATTTACCAACATTAATAATAAAAGTATCTTGTGATTTTTCATCTTGTTCTAATAAATAAGTACTATATTGTTGTCGTTGTTGTTGTTGTTGTATTAAAGTATTATTATATTCAAATTGAACTTCTTTTTTTTCTTTTAATTGTGCAATGATTTCTCGATTATCAATACGAGCTGTAAAACTATAAATAGCTGCTTGTTCTTCAATAGGAAAACAATAAACAGCTTCAATAGATGTATATTCATCATTTCGAAATATTTGTGTTATTGTTACATCAGCAGCAAATGAACGAATTGTTGCTTCAATATTGATTTGTTTAAGTGGTACATATTCGAATGGAGATTTTATTTCACTAGAAATTCTTAACATAGTTGTGTAAATGATATAAAATAAATCTTCGGATTCAATGTAAAATGACCTTGCATATACGTTTATTGATGTTTCTTATCAGATGAGTCAGAGAATCGTTGAAACATAATCATCGAAGTTACACTGTTGCTTTTAAAACTATTGGTTGATAGTAACTGTGTAGAAATACTAGATGCGTCAAAATGATTACAACGTTAAGCATTTTGCAAATATCTCAATATAGACTAATCCTGTAAAGTTGAATTTTTTTATCAAATGTGCCATTGAATTGTCTACAAGAATACTCATGAAAAATTCAATTCAAGGCTTTTAATAAATTCTTTCTAAGGCTAAAATTGAAGTACTGTAAAATGGCCAAATGTTTCATTATTTCGAGAGAAACAAAAAAAAGAAGATAACATTGGTTATTTTAAATATGTCTCACCACCAAGGAGTCATTTTTTTAACATGCGCCATAGAATTCTTTAATATCTTTGCATGAAAGGATCCTTTGAATTATGATAGTAAATTTTTCAGATGGAAAAAGACGAAAGCCTTCGTGATGTTGCTATTATTCATTATAATTATGGAAAAAGTAGTTTCAAAAATCTCAAGTACCATATCTAAAGATCAATGGCTTTTTAATTCACTGAAGTTAAATCTATTAGATGACTTTGTATGGGATCATCTTAATAAGAACATTTATTATCAAAATGTCAAAACATGAAAAGATTCCAGAGTTGAGCTAGTACGAGTGCGATTTTTGTTGTACTTGCAGTTGCTCAACTCTACAAGATCTGTAGCGAGAACTAATGAAACATGATAACAAATTGATTTTAGAGATATTGATGAAGTAATCGACACTTTTCTTTAAAGATTTCGTGCAGCTGAACAACACACTAGCAATCATATTTTTTATGAATAGTCATGACTTTTATATTATTTCATGTGAACTTTTTTCATGATGTATATCACATGATATCATACAAATATTGGTTTGAAATAAAAAGAGAGCTTCTTTAGTTTCTCATAAAATAATCAAGCATTTGATCATCACAAAGTACCTTACTTTTAGCCTTATAAGACAGACATTAAAAAGATTGAATGAGATTTTTCATTAGAGAATTTGCAGCGCATCTTTTGAAAAAAGAACTCAACGATATAGAATTTGTCTTTATTGAAACCGTTGCAAAACATCCATGATTTATAGGATGATTTATTATTTGGTGAAAGAAAAAAAAATTTGTGGTATAAACTTTTCATAACTTTAAGCAATGCTCATCTTGTTTTTATAAAGTATCGTTGTTGTCTCACACAGTGATAACTATCATAGCTGATTGGCTACGTTGTTGGATACTTACCCACAAAATACTGTTGTTCGACTGTTACTTCCTAGAAACAAAAAAAAATACGATTCACACGATAATGACAATAACGATCAAACTTTAATCATTCTTGAATTTATATTAGCTGTTACTTAGCATATAAATATTGTATTTTAATTTTTTCTCTAAGTTACGTCCGATGATTTATAAGTTATGTAGAAGACCAGATCATACTACTTATTTTTGTAAGGAAATACTAGTTTGGATCGATTGAATTGAAAAAATCCTCTGAAATAAGTCTGACCGAAGATCAAATACAACATCAGTGCCTATTTTTTCTCTTAGCCGACGTTTAGGTCATGATGATACGAAGCATGATTCTCGTCTAACTTGTAAATTTTACAATAGAGCAGATTTCAACTAATGTATTGAACCGAACAGTCGTGTGGTTCATTTGTGTTCGCCTTGTCGAGGAGTGCACAAAAAAAATTGTGCAATCAAAAAATTAATTTATATTCACACTATAGTTTAATTTGTTAACTAGGTAAAGTGTAATGTTTATATTTGAAAATATATGTATACATATACTACTAAGAGCATAAATACGATTTTAATCCATACGCCATAAGACCTTCTTTTGTTTATGCTATCAAATGAAATGGCAACTACTATTTCTTTGTACTACTGTCGTTTGATTACCGTAGCTCATCAAAATTATCGAAATGTTAAGCAAGGCTATTATTTGGATATAGGACCATAATTACAGTTTTTCAAAAATGTCCCACTTTTCGTATGACGCTTTTGCCTCAGATAATGTCGAAGATGGACGGTGGGGAGCTAAACAAGTGCTAACATAGCTCCCGATGGTGTTTGGGGATGAGTGCTGTGTGCATATGTTATCCCGATACATGCTCGATCCTTCAGCATCGGGGACACTAACTCCACTCTTCAAAACTACTTCTCCTATTATTGCCTTCGTTACTTAGGATTATTCGTGGGAAAAAAACGAACTGCCTGTTCTATGACAGTCAAGACACAGTTAATATACCAAATGAAGGCAGATCAAAAATTTCGCGCCTGATAGCATGTTCTCCAAAAATCATTGTAAATTGACGTTCAACATCATATCTTCTGGTTCTAGCTAATGCTCTTCCTCGTTTGAAAATGACTCATTTTCGTGAACTCCTCTCTTTGCATACTGATAACAATCATTACATGATAGAGTTGAAAATACATAAGTTTTGTCTGATAAAACTTACGAGCGCCCCGGTTTTATTTCAGTAGTTTTATCAATCAGTCAGAGAGATAGAGTTTAGTTTATTCACAACAGATGCGCATTTGACCATTCTTGAATTGTGAGAAGATGGGGCTACTGCATGCATTCTCAGTGATAGCGATACGAGAAGACATCGCAGGTTCCAGCCATCGACTACATTTTTGAGTGCTTCGACTGCTATCTGCATCTGACATGAGAGGCTCGATGAGGTCAACCATGACTGTCGATTCTCGTCGACTGACACGATCGCAACATAACCGCCAGTTGTTTCCAAAAACATGTATTTCTGGTCCATGACAAGTTGTAGGCTTGGAGAATACAAGAGCCTGACTTACATGTACCCATTGTGTACATATAAGACTGTGACTACCAGCTACTAACGGAACTCAAATTGTAAAAGCCAACATGATCAATGAATTCATCTAAAGTAAATCATTTTTGTTCTATTGCAAAATTCTCTCAATGAATATTCACTTACGATACTTGCTTTGAAGTAGAAGTTTGACAAAGACAAATTGCAATTGAGGTGAAGTATGAGTTTTTAACAATGTATTCTCTCTTTATATACAGATACTGTATTGAAACTTGTCCTTTTTAATCAAGAATCGAATTTCAACAAAAAAGGAAGCACATGTGTAATAAGAATAGGAATTAGACTATATTGATTTCTATTTTTCGAAAACAAAAAGTAATCAAACAACAAACTGAAGGTTAAGTGGAACAACTAAGCTCTCCCTCTAATCAATATACATGTGACATGCATCAAATTACAGAAACTAGATCGACTGTGTGTTGTGCTATGATTATGAATGGAAACAAACCATATGATTGATTCATTAAACTTTGTAACAACTATGTAAAATAGCACAATTGTCATCGGCTAATGCTCTTACGAATTCATCACTGTTGATTGTTCTGAGATGTTTCACAGAAAAATGCATTGACGTATGACGATCGATTTTATGGGCTCTTTCTCATTGAGTTTTTCAAACTGTTTCATGTATGCTTTGTGTTCCTTGCAGAATTAGTGAGTGATTATTAGAGAGTAATACGGGCTTTGTCGACTGTGACTAAGAATGCTTCATTATCAAGAAAAGTGAATTATAACTCGTGGCACAATTTTTCATCTTCTGTAGTTCGTGTCCACAAACACTCTTTGCAATCGTTTGAGAATTCTATCATGGTCAGAAATAAAATGCTTCCGAAAAAGTAGGAATCCAATGAAATATTTGTACTATTGTAAAGACAAATCACCTCTTAATCGTGACACTGATTGTTCCATTGTCATTTACTCTTTATCGAAAATAACGAGAATGCACAGAGCAACCTTCGATTCGTCTTCAGGTCAGACTGATTTTCCTGTACTTCACAGACAAAATCGTTAGAAGCAGAAGAAATAAACGGAGTTACATTATTGGTGAGGTTTCTCTTGGCTAATTCGCAAACATCGAATTAGTGTTAACCAAAAGCAAAAAATATAAAACTGTCTCGAAATTCACTCGATTAGAAATGGCTGATGAGGAAGATCAGCAATCACAAAAACAAAGAAAGGATCGGGAATAATTTATGTAGATACTTAATTGAACTGAATTCATATTGGATTCTAAAGGCTGCAATAATATTTAATGATAATGAAACCAAATTAACGCTATCACTAACATGCTTGTATTTCATTGTAATTGACATTATAAAAACATCTTATATATACTCACCATATAGCTTAATTGTAAACTTGTAATTTTCTTAGAGAATTAAAGCTTTTTTGTTGAAATGTTGTACTTCTTCATATTTGATGATATCAAATATTTTATTTGTTGTTTCGATTTATCTAACATTTTAACACAAAACTATAATATGAAATTTTATTTTCTATTTGTCAACAATTTGATTGTAAGTTGACTCTTATAATTAATCAATTATAGATCCGATATTCATGCAACATCTCGAAGAAGATAACATGAATTTCCAAAAAGATAAAAATCATTCAATTTATTTGCTTTTAGTTATTTATTTTATATATAAAAAAAAAGAAAACGAAACTCTCTTCAAAGTTCTACTAATTGCTCAACATTTTCGTCTTAATCCATGCTGAATAAGGCCCCGTACGAGTATAAACACCTGGAAAACCACGTTTCGAACAACCATAACCATAAGATGTAATACCACCTATTGACCATATACCATTTTCTTGATACATCAACGGACCACCACTATCGCCAGCACTAAAAAGAAACAACAAGAAAAGAAAAAAAACCTGTTTATTATTTAAATCAAAATGAAAAGACTTCACCAAGTATCTTTTGACCAATCTAAAGCTGCAGCACATAATTGTTTTGAACCATCATAATGAATATCCGTATAAACTCGACAATTAATCGGTGGTAAAACATTAATATTAGCTTGTCGAAGTACATTGGAAT